GTCCCATGGGCGGAGATGGAGGAGTCCTCTGTTCCAGGAAGACCCAAAACAGCTTGCTAGAGACACACACCACGGAGGAGTTCCCCACTCCAGGCACCCATGCTGGGTGGGCCCAGAACTGCTTGCTAGAGCCACGCGCACCCTGCAGGTGGCAGTGGAGGAGTCTACTGCTCTGGGCAGGCCCAGAACTGTTTGCTAGAGCCACGTGCGTCCCATGGACAGAGGTGGAGGAATTCCCCACTCCCGGCTCCCGCACTGGGAGGGCACAGATCAGCTTGCTAGTGCTGCACACGTCCAACGGGCGATGGTGAATGAGTCCTCCACTCCCCCCCAGCTACTCTGGTGGGGCCAAACTAGGACTGGTCTGGTCGCTCACGTACCCTGCACTACCACTGCCATTCCTCCACCCTCTGGCTGCTCCAGGGTGCTGAACTAGGACTAATCTAGCCACTACAGTTCCCCTGTTCCACCAGTTGCCCCAGAGGGGCTGAACTAAGACTGATCCAACTGCTGCCAGTGTCCTGCCTGCTGGTCACGCTGGCAGGCTGAACGAGGTCTAATCCGTGCAGCTGCTGCTGTTCCACTGCACCCCAGTTGCCCCAGCACCCAAGAACTGGGAGAAGACAACAGACACACTCTGCCTGTCTCTCTGGGCAACGAGAAGAAGCCACCAAATGAACAGTTTTGATAAGGCCTCCAAACAAGGTAAACTCAGCATGGGGCAGAATCAGCGGAAAAACTCTGGCAACTCGAATAACCAGAGTAGATCAACTCCACCAAGGAAAAATGGGGCAGATGCAATTGAAGACCCCATCCACAAGCAAATGGCTAAGATGTCAGAAATCGAGTTCAGAATGTGGATAGCAAATAAGATTAACAGAATAGAAGAAAGGAAGGAATTAGAAGTTCAAGAAATTATTCAAAAGATTTCTCAAGAAATTATTCAAAAGATATCTCAAGAACTCAACGATTTCAAAGATAAAATTATCAAAGATTTTTAAACACTGAGACAAGAGGTTGCAGCCCTCAAGGATCTGAAACATACAGTGGAATCCCCGGCAGAAGAAAAGATCTCTGATTTTGAAGATAAAGCTTTTGAAGAGGCCCAGGAATGCAAAGATCAAAAGAAATGGAGAGCAAAAATGGATCTCACTCTCAGAGAGCTCTAGGATAATTCAAAGAAAACTAGTATTAAACTAATATTCGCCATTCCCTGAAGGTGATGAAGTTGCTTCACAAAACACTGAGGCTCTTCTTCATGAAATTATGAAAGAGAACTTTCAAGACATGCCAAGAGATTCTGAAATTCAGATAGCAGACAGTTTCAGAACCCCAGCACGACTCAACCCAAACAAGACATCCCCCAGACACATCATAATTAACTTCACCAAAGTTAAGATGAAAGAGAAAATTCTGAAAGCAGTCAGACGTAAAAAAACCATAACCTACAAGGGAAAGAGTATCAGGATAACTTCAGATCTCTCAGCTAAAAACTTTAAGGCTAGAAGAGGATGGTCATCGACTTTTAATCTCCTAAAACAAAATAACCTTCAACCCAGGATCCTGTATCCAGCTAAACTGAGTTTCATCTATGATGGAGAAATTAAATACTTTAACAACATTCACATGTTGAAGAAATTTGCCATAACTAAACCAGCTCTCTAGGAAATTCTCAAAGCTATCCTACATAATGACCAGAGTAATCCTCCACCACAAAAGTAAACCCACTAAAAAACTTTTGATCAAATTCCAACATCCACAATGGCAAAAGGATTAAAAATGTCTACAGGACTTTCGAGCAACTCTATGCCCAAAATTTTACAAGGCTTTTCAATAATTTCAATCAATGTGAATGGCTTAAATTGTCCTCTAAAGAGGCACAGACTGGCTGATTGGATTCAGAAACTCAGGCCAGACATCTGTTGTATACAAGATTCTCATCTTGCCTTAAAAGACAAATATAGACTCAGAGTGAAGGGATGGTCATCTATATTCCAGGCTAATGGAAAGCAGAAAAAAGCAGGTGTTGCGATTTTATTTGCAGATACACTAGGTTTTAAACCAACAAAAGTAACCAAAGATAAAGATGGCCACTTTATATTTGTTAAGGGAAGTACTAAATGCGATGAGATCTCAATTATCAATATCTATGCACCCAACCAGAATGCACCTCAATTTATAAAAGAGACTCTAACTGGCATGAGCAACTTGAT